ATTGCCTTCATTCTTCATCAGAACCCTAGAAAGGAACCCCCACATCCCTATCCCTGGGAAAAATATGTTGATTTGAAAATAAGTGTGTAGATGCAGCAATATGGCCACGATGTTACTGTAGTTTTAGAAATGCAAATGTTTGCTTTGAATTAGTATCACATAAATATAAATTAACATAATGTAAGTGTTAGAATGTGTGTCTCTAAGCTAAAACATTGATCAAATAAAAAGAAGATGTCCAGAGAAATGGACAAGAGATAGATAGCAGTATTGCTTAATCTGACCTGGATTACAATGCTAGTAGTTTCAGCAAGACTGACCATATTCTGGGTCATAAAATAAGCCTCAACAAATTTAAAAGAATTGAAATCATACAAAATATAGTTACTGCAAAAGAATTAAACTAGAAATCCTCCAGAACTATCTCTGGAAAATCCCCAAATATTTGGAAATTAAACAAGACATAATCCATGAGTGAAATAGGAAGTCACAAAGGAAATTAGAACATAGTTTGAAATGAACGAAAATGAAAACAAAGTATCAAAAATTGGGGGATGCAATAGTCAATAGCATACCAATTGAGAACACGGCAAGGATGTTTTCCTTCACCATTCCTATTCAGAATTGTACAGGTAGTCTTAGCCAGTGCATTACGGCAATAAAAAGAAATAAAAAGTCTACAAATTAGAAAGGAAGAAGTAAAACCATCTCTATTCACAGAAGAAATTACAAGAAATTCTACAAGAAAGCTGTTAGAACTAGTCAGAGAGTTTTGAAAAGTCATAATATTCAATATACAAAATCAGTTGTATTTCTATATACTAGCAGTAAACAAATGGAAATTGAATTTCAAAGAAAAACTTACCAAATACAATAGGACCAAAAACATTTTAAATATTTAGGTGTAAATCTAACCAAAGATGTCTAAGATCTGACTCTTGAAAATTAGACACACACGGATATTAAATAAGATCTAAAAAATTGGGAAATATATCCTGTTCATGGATTGGAAGACTAAAGAGTGTTAAGATGTTAATTCTCCCCAAATGGATCTATAGATTCAAAACAATCCCAATAAAATTTCTAACAGGTTGTTTTGTACAAATCAACAACATGAGTTTAAAATTTACATGGAAAGGGGCGCCTGGGTGGCTCAGTTGGTTAAGTATCTGCCTTCCGCTCAGGTCATGATCTCAAGGTCCTGGGATTGAGCCCCGCATCAGGCTCCTTGCTCAGCAGTCTGCTTCCTCTCCCTCTGACCCTCCTCCCTGCTTGGGCTCTCTCTCTCTCTTTCTCTGTTCCAAACAAATAAATAAAATCTTTTTTTAAAAAATTACATGGAAAGGCAGAGAACTAGAATAGCTAAAACACGTATGGAAAAGAACAAAGTTAGAAGATAGGCTCCCTGATTTCCAGACTGATTATAAAGCCACAGTAATCAGAACAGTGTGGTATTGACAAAAGGATAAGCATATAGATGAACAGAACTAGACAGTGTCCAGAAACAGACCCATACTTATACAGTCAAGTGATTTTCAGTGAAATAGCAAAGACAATACAATGGGAAAGGATAGTCTTTTCATCAGATGATCCTGGAAGAAACGGACATTCACTTGCAAAGAAAAAAGGTACCATATTAACAAATTAACATGACATAGATCATAGACCTAGATTTAAATTAAAACTGTCCTGCATCAGCCTCCCTTCTCCCTCTCCTGTCCCCCCCCCCTCGGCTTGTGCTCTATCTGTCAAATAAATAAATAAAATATTTAAAAAAATAAATTAAAACTATGAAACTTTTTTCAGATTTTTTTTTATTATCATTTTTTCATTTGAGAGAGAGAGACAGAGAGTACAAGCAGGGGGAGAGGCAGAGGGAGAGAGAGAAGCAGACTCCCTGCAGAGCTGGGAGGGTGATGCGGGGCTCGATCCCAGGGCCTGGAGATCATGACCTGAGCCAAAGACAGACGCTTAACCATCTGAGCCACCCAGGTGCCCCAAAACTATGAAACTTCTTAAAGAAAACAGAAAAGAAAATCTCTGTGACCTTGAATGAGGCAAAGATTACTTAGATACACAAAAAGCATGATCCATAAAAGAAAAAATTGATAAATTAGGAGTTTATAAAAATGTTTAAATTATGCTCTTTAAAAAAAAAGAATACTATCATGAAAATGAAAGAACAACCCACTAGCTTGAAAATATACTTAGAACACATATCTAACAAAGGATTTGTGGCTAAAATATATAAAGAACTCTCAAAACTCAATATAAGAAAACATTATTGAAATGTGCGAGATATTGAACAAACATTTCAACAAAGAACCTGTATGAATAGCAAATAAGCAAATGAAAGTACGCTTGATATCATTATTCCTTAGGGAAATGCAAATTAAAACCACAATGAGATATTATCACTTATTTGAATGGGTAAAATAAAGGAAAAAAGGTGGAAAAAGGAAATTAGCAGTACCAAGTGTTGTGGAAAATATGGAGGAACTGGAATTCTCATCTACTGCTGGTGGAGATGCAAAATTATTCAATCCTTCTAAAAAACAGTTTGGTAATTTCTTATATACACTCCCCATATGACTTAGCAATCTCAAGAGAAATTTACTCAAGATAAATGCAGATACAAGTACACACAAAAACTTGTATGTGAATATTTATAGCAGCTTTGTTCATAATCATCTCCAAGAAGGAGACAAACCAAATATTCTTCAGCTGATAAATTATTTTATTTAAAAAAAATTGTTTTAAAGATTTATTTATTCATTTTAGAGAGAGACAGTGCACAGGGGGAGGGGTAGAGGGAGAATGGGAGAGAGAGAGAATCATAAGCAGACTCCATGCTGAGTGTAGGGCTTGATCTCATGACCCTGAGATCACTACCTGAGCTGAAACCAAGAGCTGGACACTTAACTGACTGCGCCACCCAAGTGCCTCTGATAAATGATTTTAAAACTATGATATAGCCATATAATGAAATTGTATTTGACAATAAGAGGAAATAAACTTCTGGTATACATAACAACATGGATGAATCTCAAATGAATTATGCTAAGATTTACAGATGTACTAAGGCTACGTGGTATATGATTACATTATATGACATTTCTGGAAAGAGCAAAACTCTAGGGACAGAAAGTGTATCAGTGGTTTCCAGGAGCTGAAGAAAGAATTGACTACAAAGTACAAAGGGACACAAGGGCATTTTTTATGGTGAGGAATGTTCTATATCTTGATTGTGATGATTTACATCACTGTATGCAATTGTCAAAACTTACAAAACTGTAAACTAAGACAGATAATTTCTCCTGCATATAAATTATACTTCAACACATCTGACTTTGATTTTTAAAAAGAGTTTAAAAAGCTGTTTTCCAGGGGAAAATCCAGTAAGGATCAGAGCCAAGTAAATGAGAAAAAAAAAGATCTTATACGGAAGCATAGTGACTTAATCCAGGATGAAAAGAACCTAAAGAACAGGTTTCCAAGAGAAGATGAAACCAACAGTTTAAGGTTAAGATGTCTGGAAAAAACAGCTTAGAAGTCATCCGGAAAATACAGAGTGTCTTAAGAAATAATAAATAATTTGCCAACTGCTCAAGAGCTGAAGTAACTGAATCACAGAGAGTGGTAGGCAGAACCCTAAGGCACATGCCCATCTGTTCCTGGTGTACACACCCTATTTAATCTCCTCCACGTGAGTGTGGGTGAGACTAGTAAACCCGTGAATGCACTCCCAGGGAGAGAGAGAGAATCACAAGCAGACTCTGCACTGATTGCAGAGCCCATGACGGGGCTGGATCTCAGATCATGACCTGAGCTGAAATCAAGAGTTGGACGCTCAACCGACTGAGCCACCCGGCGCCCCCAGGTCAGCTTTTAAAAGAGGGGTCAGGCCCTCAGTAGATGGAAAGGTTCTGCTGTGCTGGGAACTGCCCAGGGTGGGGGGGGGGCCATGGGGCAAAGACCCGAGGGCAGCCTGTAGGAGCTGAAAGCATCTCCAGCAGGGAAGCGGAGACTGAATTCTGCCAACAACGAGTGGTCTTTTGCCAACAAATGATCTTGGAAAGGTCAGTCATCTGCAAACCTCAGATGAGATCCCACCCGTGGCTAATGTCTTAATTTCAGCCTGGGAAGACTCTTGAGCAGAGAACCCAAGCCTGGACGGCTGATCTAGAGAAACTGAGATGACAAATGTGTGTTGGCTTAAGCCACTAAGTCTGTGGTGATTTTGTCACACGGTAATAGAAAAGTGAAGAGTGAATTAAATGTGTCAAGCTAGTTTAATCAGAAAATACTTTGGTGATTTTGACTCCAACAGTTCCTCACCCAACCAATAGTAGGCTAGTTTTAATGATTTACTATACATTGAATCAAAAAGCATCACAGAAGGTAACATCATAGAAGAGGGAAGACCAAGGGGATGACGTCTTTGGAGGATACTCTCCCTCGGTTCTGTCCAGGGTGGGCCAAGAAAGTCCCAGTGCAGACCGGTGGAGGGGCCTTCCGCTGGAGGTTCTCTGATTTGGGCTCATTGCACTTGGTAACTCATTGTCCCACAGACTTCCCTTCTCCACTTCCAGGCCGAGACTTCTGCCACTCCAGTACTAATAACTGTTCTCACTGGGCTGGACACCCTCCCACAGGTCTCTAGGGCCAATGGTGACATCCAGACCAGAAACACGTCAGCGCTCACTGGACTTTCTTAACACTCATTGTTAAAACACTCATTTGTGAGGCCAGTCACCAGGAAATAACCACTCAGCTTTATAACCATAAAAGAAAGTATGAATCATTCCTGAAGCATCTTTCCATATATGTGATAACAGAAAGAAGGTTTCCCCCCAGACAGTATTATTTCAATTATAGGTTGCAGTATCTTGCAAATTTAAAAAATAACATTCTTCCTTTTCATCAGATTATCAATTGTTTTATTCTAGAAAATTCTTTATTCTAAACATTATATAATGAAAACGGAATTAATAACTTACCTTGTAACTTTTTAGTCTGATGAAATCAACCTTCATAGAGACAAATCTATCTGAATTTCGACTGATGTTCTTAAGGTGTTCCAGAAGATCCACACAGAACTTGTAACCTCCTTTAAGCACACACAGGATCATAATGTCACAGTATCCTATGTCTTTCATAATATCCTTAGCCAGCCGTTCAGTTCTGAAAGAGGGATTAAAAGACATATTAAAGCATAAGTACTTCTGAGTATTTTTTTCCTTTAAAAAAAATGCATGATGCATTACCCATATTAGATTACACAAGGGATTGTGGAGGAGAGCTCGGGAGACAGAAGCCTACAGATAAAGAAGCTTTGTTAAGACTGGACAAAGAGAGAGTGTTCAAAACATATTTCTGATAACCACATCATCCCTAGTACATTTTTGCTCCTTGGTGTCACAAACATGAGTAAGGTGTGAAATATATGTCAAAGATCATGAATGCTATTATTTTATCACTACAGAGCCTGGTTGTTAACAATGCAATGAAGATATCTGGTGATGTTATGCTCACTTTATAGCAAAGAGAGAGGACATGGAGAATGATTCACTCACCTTACAAACATTAGAAGAGACTGGAAGAAAAGTCAAGCACACAGAAACTATCAAAAGAATAACCTCTCTCTTCTATTTGACAAAGATGGCACATTACCTATGTGAAAGGTGTCCAGGGTACAATTCCAGGAGGCACCATTTCCATGGAGCACCATGTGAATGATGCCTTCCTGGAGCTAGGTAATGATGCAGCCTCGGGTTGGCACCCAAAGCCTGATTTGGAACTGTCACTGTATTTTTTCTAATTGTTTCATGTCTAGAAGTCCATTGCCCATGCATCCATACAACATTAAAGCCTGGAATGGAGGCAGGAGCTCAGGTGCATATTTAAAAAAAAATTCCTACTGGCACTTCAGATAGAATTAGATTTAGAATGTGTTAAATGAATGATTGGAATATATATATATGAATATATATGTGTATGTGTATATATGTATATGTATGTATATCTCTCTATAAAGTATTATATTACATATGTTCTATATATCTAATATATTGCATAATATATTTTATATAAGTTATATATGTGTGTATATATGCATACATATGTATAAACATATACATATTAAATGGCAACCGTGGTTTCAGACGATGTTCCTCAAAATATGACCATCAAGAAAATGTACATCAGCATGCCAGATAGTCTGCAAAAAGGGACATTTGTTTTCAGCATAATGGAGTGAAGTGGTTAACACATTCTCTTCACAAAAAAGTAACTATAAAGCTAGATAAAACTGTTGAAAACAACCATTTCAGCACTCTGGAAGTTAACCAGAGACATATAACAAACTGAGAATCATTTATTCATGAAAACATTGAACAATGGGTAGAAAGAGCACAAGTCTGTGGCATCCTTGCCAGAGAGTGCTCCCATCTCCCTGTGCCCCACATCGGCTTTGTTGTTCAACCAGGTAGTTCACCCAGGGTGGGGCACTGCCAGAGGGAGCTCCCCTCACGGGGAGCAGTGTCAGTTGGTATGGCTATCTTGGTAGCCTGTGAGCAGGGAGAGCCAATGGCCCCATTATTGTGAAATTGCACTCCTGTTTGAGCAACTAACTGGCAGACTACTCTAGTCGGGGATTTCTGGGAGGTTAGTGTCACAGGAGAGGGATAGACAATATACTCTTCACATATCTCAGGTTGACCAGAAGCTATGCATATGCCCAGCAGAGACCAGCATGGGACCAGGTTACCTATACATTCCTGAATGATGGAGCCCGTAAGCATGTGCAGCAGAGACACAAGAAAGCACAATGAAACAATAAAAGCTGGGGAAGACTTGAAAAAGGCTGGAAATTTGAATGTGCTTGACAGTCCCCACACACATTCATCAGGGCTTAAGGTGTTTGAGTACAATCTCTAGTCAATCTTAGACTGAAGGCTAAACTATTCAGACACAGGGGTGAGTCCTAGTAAGTGAGGCTTACAAAGTAAAAACAAGAAAAGTAGACTGCCTATTATCAGAGGCCATGCACTGTGGGGGATACAGATTCCACAGAGTGGAAAACAAAACAAACAAACAAAAAAACCCCAAAAAACAAAACCAAAGAACAAGGGCAGTGAACAGAAAATAATTACAAATATGGTAGATATGAAACCAACTATATCAATAATCACTTTAAATGTGAATGATCTAAATATACCAAGTAAAAGACAGAGACTGTCAGAGTGGATTAAAAAAAAAAAAAGACCCTAACATATGTTATCCTATAAAGACACTGATAGATTAAAAGGATGGAAAAGGACATATTGTACTAACACTAACCAAAAGAAAGCAGGAGTAGCTTATTGATTTCAGACAAAGCAGATTTCAGAGCAAGGAAATTATCAGGAATAAAGAGAGCATTATATACTAATAAAGAGGTCAATTTTCCAAGAAGACATAACAATCCTTAATGTGCGTGCATCTAACAACAAAGAGTGTCAAAAAACTGACAGAACCTGGGCGCCTGGGTGGCTCAGATGGTTAAGCGTCTGCCTTCAGCTCAGGTCATGATCCCAGGGTCCTGGGATCAAGTCCCACATCGGGCTCCCTGCTCAGCTGGGAGCCTGCTTCTCCCTCTGCTTCTCTCTCTCTCTCTCTGTCTCTCTGTCTCTCATGAATAAATAAATAAAATCTTTAAAAACAAACAAACAAACAGAATCCACTACTGCATTTGGAGATCTCAATACTTCTCTCTCAGTAACTGACAGATCCAGTAGTCAGAAAACCACTAAAGATATACTTGAACCACACAGTATCATAAATCAACTGGACCTAACTAGCATCTATAGAATATGTCATCTAGCATTTTTCTCAAAGATATAAATAAGAAAATGAAAAGACAAGCCACAGATGGGGGGTGGGGTATTCAAAAATCATATATCTGGTAAAGGACTTATATCCAGAATATATAAAGAACCCTTACAACTCAGTAAGAAGACAAACAACCCACCCAATGTAAAAATGGCAGAAGACTTAAATAGTCATCTCTTCAAAGAAAACATAAATAGCTAACAAGCACACTAAACAATAGGAAAATGCAAATTAAAACCACAATGAGATACTTTTATGTATCCACTAGAATGGCTATGGTCAAAAGGACAGATGATACTAAATGTTGGCAACCATGTGGAGAAACTGGATTCATCATCCTCGCTGGTAGAAATGTAAAATGGTACAGCCACCTTGGAAATAATTGGCAGTTTCTTAAACTTAACCATAAAACCCAGAATACCACTGCAAGGAATCCAAGAGAAATGAACGGGTATATCCACACAAAGACCTACATGCGAATGTTCATAGATACATTGTTCATAGTAGCCCAAAACTAGACATCCAAATAACCACTGATTGGTAAATCAATAATTAGATATTGTATGATTTAATTTATATGAAATGTTCAGAAAAGACAAATTTATAGAGAAAGGAATCAGACTAGTGACTGCTTGATGCTGAAAGTAGGAATAGGGACCGACAGCAAACATTTGGGGATGACAGAAATACTGTAAAATGATGGTTGTGCTTGCCCAACCATAAACATTTACTAGACATCATTGACTCATTGACTTACAATGGGTGAATTTTGTAGTATGTAAATTACACTTAATAAATTCATTCCTGGGCCCCACCCCAGGATTTCCAGACATAAAGCATAAGAATACACATTTTATGGGGTGCCTGGGTGGCTCAGTGGATTGAGCGTCTGACTCTTGGTTTTGGCTCAGGTCATGATCTCAGGGTCATGGGATGGAGCCCCGCATGGGGCTCTGCACCCAGCACAGAATCGCTTGTCCTTCTCCCTCTGCTTTCTCTCTGTCTCTCATGAATAAATAAAAGCTTAAAAAAAAAAAAAGAATACACATTTTAACAAGTTCACTGGTTAAGTCTCCTGTACTGGGAACTGGCTTTCGGTAGCCTTAGCAGCCCAATCATGTACTAGATCAGGATGCAATTAACTAAAGTCATAAAATTCAGGTGAGAAAAGCAAGAATTTGTTTAAACCAGGGGGTTCCCAAACCTTTGTTAAGGGGAAAATGCCTCTGAGTTATTAAGAGGTGAGCTGAATACAAGGACTCCACTGCACAACAAAAGTTGGTTTAATTGTTAGAGTCAAGCAGGTTTCTTTCTTTTTTTTTCTTTTTTGCAGGAATTTCCGTATCTTCAATTTGAATTGCTAACAGGGAGATTTGGCCATTTGAGAGTTGCAAAATTTCCCAAGTTTCTTTGATCACAGAACATTTTGTTCCCTCTGAGGATTGGGACTTGTATTCCATGAAAAGCCATCTTAGGCCATGAGAAACTCCAAACTAGACCTTATTTTAATAATATACTATAGTTTGAGAGGACGTGGACTATGCAAGTCTTACCCAATGGAAAATTCTTAGAGTGAAAGAATGACATTTCCTTTTGGTATAGACAGGAATTGATGGAAAGATAATATCCTGGGAATAGTGACTGTCTAGTGTTTTCCAAACTTTAGTTTGGCTAAGGACTTGTTTCATAAAGTTAAATATTAACTCAGAAGAATATAATAGATTAACAAAAATAAAGGCAGAAGTACTATGGTTTAAGAAAAAAGGTAGCATGGGAAGTCCAAAGTTTCAATTTGTTCCTACTCCCCCGTGCCTCTCCCACTCCCCATTTCTGGGTGTCTGAAGAATCTCTATGTTCCTGGGAATGCACTGTGAGGCTTGCTTTCCATGTAAATGTGAAGGTTTGAGTATTTGATCTTTGTACAAGAAAACAGAGAGGTACACGGAATGATTATAGTCTGCGCATTAAGCAGTTTTGTGAAAAGGGTATGACCTTTAAATCCTGATGCTTAGGGTAGGATCAAGTGGAGGACGCTCTCTGAAAACTAAGAAACAAATGGTGACTTATGGGCTTAGAACAGGCGAGAAAATGTTGGCTTTTAGAAAGCCAATTGGCTAGGAAGGAGCTAAAGGATCTCTATATAGACGGGTCAGAAAGAACTGGAAATAGCATTCTAGAAGTAGTTCTGTGCAGATATTTTTAAGTTGAAAATATGCCTATTCCCAAAACATTACCCCTGCCTGGAAACCATAACCTGGCACAGACTGGCTGATTTGTGATACATTGCTTGATCTGAGATATATGCCAAGTTGCAGGAAAAGCCAGGGCTGCAGGGGTATGTCCCATGAAGGTAAAGTTCACCTGCTAATTATCCCTGGTTAACTCAAGCGTCTGTGAAAAATCTAAGACAGAGGTCCTCAGGTAAACAGCAATGCTTTCCCAAACCCTGTTTTTATCAGTTTGTGCAGGACACTGTTATTTTGAGGCTGTTACATATTATATATATATATATATATATATATATATATATATATATATGCACAGAACGTAAAAATATCTGCATGGAACTATTTCTAGAATATATATATATATATTCTTATCATTTCCCCTGAACAAGTGTCCAGGTTACCAGCTCAATTAAAGCAGAGATTCGTTTTATTACAAATTCTCTGTCCTATAAAATTTCTGTCTACTCCTATATAGGAGACACTCAGGAATAGGGTCGTAAAGTGTATTATATGATTTGCACAAGGCAGGGGGGGGGCAGCCAGTGCAGAACCAAGACTGACACAAGAAACAACACTTACCTGTCCACAATGATGCCATGAGGTATGAGGACATACTCCAAATCTCCATAATAGTGCTGTGGGTATGTGAATAAATTCAAGTCATATCCTGGCCAATCGTCCATAATCTGTAAATCAAATTATTTTGGTTACAATATTTTTCATGGGGAATTTATTTGTAAAACGTAAATAAGCAAAAATGGGTATCATTTGAAAAAAAGAATAATATGGAAAACAGAAAAGAGGTCTGATGATCAATATGACGCTAGATTACATTCTATCAACCTATGAAAAGCTCTGTGGGGGAAAGTAATTTGTTTCACGAAACCTGATAAAAGATCTAGTACTGAAATGAACAGAGAATTCTGCTCCTAACTTTTGGCATCATATAAAGAAATATCCATTTGATGTCTTATAGTTAACCTGATAGTATTGTTTGAAATGTTTGTTATATCTAAATTATATAGTATCATGAATATAAGTAACACTATGTTCATAAGTATATTGGACTTATACTTATGGACTTAGAAATATGGACAGTATCATCATACATTATTATAAATGTTATTACGTATACTATTATGTTTCTATGCATTGTAAAAGCCTCCTCTGCCTAGGAAAGATTACCTATTAAAGTACATGTGTCTTGGGATTAGTGTAGACACAAACTTCTGAGTGGTCTAGTCATTACAGTAAACACTTGAACGATATACTGTGGTGGGAACTTCCGTCAGTCCTATTGGGAAAAATTCTTCCAGAAAATTGGCCTATTCATGTAGTGAATAGAGTACTAGCCAGTCTTTCCCTTGCTTAGCACTGGATATGCAAATTTTATGGTTAGAACAGTAAAGATGTGGGAGGGAAAATGAAGGTGAAGAACGAGTTACTTTTACTTTCAGATCACCGAGAAAGGATACACCAGGGAAGTGTTAGCGCCCAACTCATTCCACAGCTGTCCTGCTGGTTCCTGTTCTTTGATGACTCCTGCACACTTCCATCACATCCGCTATTCAGCTTGAAGCTTTCATCATGCAGAGCTATCCCAATTTTCCAGCCCAGTTCCCTACATCATTGCCTCCCCATCCTCAGGCTGGGCTTCAGTCCAGTCGTGACCTTTCCCATCTCTGTGTTCTGTTCGTTTGTCTTTCTTGCACCTGCACCCTCTCCTTCTCCTTCCCTCTCTCCCTCTGTATCCCAAGCTCAACCCCTCTGCAGAAGCTCAGGTCAGGCCTCACTTATTTCTGGAGGCCTTGCTCAGCCCTCTTACTCTCTGATCTTCTCTCCCAAATTCCTCATAGATGGGGCCCTCAGAGCTGTCTTTTCAAAGGCTCCCAGACAGGCTCCTTGAAAAGACTTTTGCCACTGCCAGCTTCTGGCTCACTCGGTCTTACCTGTTATAGAACCCATTTGTACATCATTTAATTCTGGCACGTCCCCCAGCTGTCTACCCTTCTCCTCATCCAGGACTCAAAACATTAGCTCAGGTTTTGGAAGGGCAACTTATGGTCCAGCTCCCACCCAGGCCCACCCCAGTTCTGGGTTCTGAAACACCAGCCAAACCAAACTCATTTTCTTCCAAATTTAGACCTTTCCTATCTCAGCAAAAGACAACATATTTTTCTATTTGCTCAGATCAAAATGTTGGAGTTGTTGTTGTCTTCTTTCTTTCATTCCCTCATGTAACCCATTGGCAAATTCTATCATCAATTCCCTCAAAATTTAACCAGGACCACCGTCAGCATCCCAACTGCTACCTCCCAGTCCGTGCCACCATCATTTCTCCGGGGACCACGCCATAGCTGTCAGACTTGCCTCCCTGCTTCCACCCTGGCACCCCCACCCCATTCCAACATGGCAGCCGGAGTACTGCTGTCTTCTTCTCGTCTTCTTTCAGGGGCTCCCCATTTTTCTCTGAGTACAATCCTGAGTCCTCACCATGGCCCATGGGGGCTTCCTCTCTGACTTGTCTGCAGGCATTCTCTACCTCCTTTACTCTGCTTCAGCCACGTTCTTCTTGCTGATCCTTGAACATGCCAGGGATGCTCCTGCCTCAACAGCTTTGCACCTGCTCTTCCTCTTGCTTACAATACTCTTCCCCCAGATTTCTACATGGCTTACACTTCACTTCCTTCAAGTCCCCACTTAAATGTCACCTCCACAGAGAGGACTTACCTGATTACCTATAGAAAATAGCACCCCCTTCCTTCCTTCTCATCTCTATATTCCTTTTCCCCAGCTTTACTTTCCTTCCCAGCATGTGCTCCCACTGGATGTGACACATGTATGTCTGTGTGCTTTGTCTTGTCTCCTCCCACTAGAATGTCAGTGCCTTCTGACAGAGACTACGTCTGAGTCACTGTGGAAACCCCAGTGCTCAGAACACTGATCTGGAATACAGTAAGTGCTCAAAAATGTTCAATGAGTTAATGAATGACACATTCTCCATCCACAGACTATCCAAGACTACCTGAGCTCCAGCCCAAACTGATTTGTCTCGATTTGCCTCCTTGCATAAAGAGCACTGCTGCTCAAGGCTCTGGAAATTCCTATCTACCAGGGGCAGATTGTTAGCCAAATGGTGTGTGTCATCTGCCTCTTTGAAAAGTATCACTTTTGCTCTGCCTCTATCCGCAAATTGGCTGGGTGCAACTATTGAATTTGTACAGAGCAACTCTGTTTTCCAGCCCTGAGAACTCCTTGCGCCTGCTGTAACCATCAACACCAGAGTTCCCTGTCAGAGCCTGAACAGCAGCTGTACGTGAGGAGCCTCCAGAAGATCCTCTGGCAGGCCACGGTAAAGGCCAGACAAGAACCCCAACCCACATGAGGCCCCAGGGAGATCATTCAAGTGCACGGCATTTTCTGGCTCCCCTTCCAGACCACACACACACTCCGCACTCCACTTCCTGGAGCCCTTCCAGGTGGTGGCATCATTAACTAGTGGTCTTCTGAGCCCATTCTTCCTACCATGCAAATCCCTTACTGTCCCCCCTTCCCCCCCTCTCCCCCTGCCCCCCCGGTTCTGGCTGCCTCTCAGAGCCTACATTCCTCTCTGTGTTCTAGAGCTTAGCTCTGATCCTTACTGGCTGTGATGCTAGGGAAAGTACTCATCCTGCCTGAGACTCAGTTTCCCCCTCCTTTAAACAAGACACAATAAAACCTATGGTCAGGGTTGGTGTGAGGATTAACAGAGAACAGAGAGTCTCCAAAGCAGTCAGGAATAACCCCATTTGAGGATCTGCTGCAAGGAAGCAGCCTCTACAGTGCTATGGACTGAATTGTGCCCCCCCTAAAATTCATATGTTGAAGCCCTATCCCCCCCCATTGTGATGACATGAGGAGGTGGGGCCTTTGGGAAGTAATTAGGTCATGAGGGTGGAGCCCTCATGATGGAATTAGTGCTCTTCTAAGAAAAAACCAGCGAGCTCTCTAGCACACTCTCTCTTTTTTCTCTCTCCCCCATCTTCCCCCCCCCCCTCGCTCTGCCATGTGAGGACACAATGGGAAGAATAAGGCAGTTATCTACAAGCCAGCAAGAGAGTCCTAACCAAATGAAATCAGCCAGCACACTGATCTTGGACTTGCAGCTTCCAGAACTATGAGAAATACACGTCTATTGTTTAAAACAAACAAACAGAATGAGTGGGAGAGAGAGAGATTTACTTAAGAGTTCCTAGGACATTTCCTGGTGTATAATAAGTGCCTAATAACTGATGTCAAAAAGAAGAAAAGAATGATAAGCAAATGGCAAAACCAACCTATTGATAAGAGCCATCGTGGTAACCTGTAGTCAAAGGCGGCATGAAGTAGTGGTCAAGCACTCAGACTTAGAAGCCCAGCACCTGTGGGGGGTGGGGGGGTTATAGCTGTGGGACTTAAGTTGGGACTTTAACTCTCTGCGCCTCGGTGTGTTCATCTATAAAATGGAGTCAGTGCCTGCCTCGCATGGCTATTGTGAGGATTCAGTAAGATATATAACGGAAATAAAACTCTTACAAAATCATCATCTGGTCTATAGTACTTCCGGGATAAGTGTTAACCATCTAGGTGTGTTGAAACAACATGGGTTAACTTGCAAATTAAAGGCCTTAATTAATTTACAGAAAGGCCTCAAACCTATTTGTCAACGTCTTGTTACCCTAGTTAAAGTTACACGTTTAAAAATAGAAGAAATGTATTTCTCTAAAACTATTCTATAATTCATACTGGCCTTTGCCAATGAGTCTGAAATAGGGTGTTTTCCTTGTTGAGATAAAAAAAAAAGACAATTAGAGATAAAGGAACTACTGGTTTACAAACAACAGGTGTTGGCGAGGATGTGGAGAAAAAAGAACCCTCGTGCACTGTTGGTGGGAATGCAAACTGGGGCAGCCACTGTGGAAAACAGGATGGAGGTTCCTCAAAATATTAAAAATAGAACTACCCTTGGGGCACCTGGGTGGCTCAGTTGGTTAAACATCTGCCTTTGGCTGAGGTCATGATCATGGAGTCCCGGGTTCAAATCCCGTGTCGGGCTCCAATCCTGCATCAGGCTCCCTGCTCAGTGGGGAGTCTGCTTCTCCCTGTGCCCCTCACCCTGCTCGTGCTCTCTCTCCTCTCTCTCCTCTCTCTCTCTCAAGTAAATAAAATATTAAAAAAAAAAGAACTACCCTATGATCCAGGAGTCACACTATTGGGTATTTACCCCCAAAATACAAAAACACTAATTCAAAGGGATACATGCACCCTGATGTTTATTGCAGTATTTTCTACAATAGCCAAACTAGGGAAGCAGCCCAAGTATCTATCAACAGATGAACAAATAAAGAGGATGTGGTATGTATACGAAGGAATATTATTCAGCCATAAAAAAAGAATGAAATCTCGCCATTTGCAACAACATGGATGGAACTAGAGAGTATTATGCTAGGTGAAATAAGTCAGAGGAAGACAAATACCCATATGATCTCACTCATATGGGGAATTTAAGAAATAAAACAAACATGCAAAGGAAAAATAAAGAGAGAGAGAGAGAAATCAAGAAACAGACTTTAATTATAGAGAACAAACTGCTGGTTACCAGATGGGAGGTAGGTGTGGGGGGAATGGGTGAAATAGGTGATGGGGATTAAAGCATACACTTATCATGGAGAAAAAAAAAGTACTATGCTTTTTTTTAAATAAAGGAAACTACTGGTTTACTCCTTGTAATTCTTAATGGTGCATGCAAATTGCATTGCAAATAAGTCCTAAAACTGAAGGAATGCAGGCTGCTATGAACTGTAGAATAAGATAATTATCTTATTCATCTGCTTTTTAAAAAATCCAAACAAGAAATCTTTAAATAGTTTCAGTATCACAGATAATATGCTCTAAGTTTAGTCAGAACAAAGCTTTCTCTGTCCAAAGACACAAAAAAACATGGCTAGGCTGGGGAAGTGGCAAACACATTAACTGAGCCATTTTCTACAAAATTCAAACCCTAGAACTCATTCAGCGTCTCTTTTTTCCCATTGGAAGATGTATTGAAAACCTTCTTTCTAAGCCATTAAAAATAATTTTTTTTTTGCTTAGCATATTTCTTGCACCATTTTTCAGGTTTTTCCCCCAGGGAGAAAAGTAGTTTGGAAACACATACAAAAAGCAAATCCCTGCTCCTCTCTGTGCCTGAGCCCCACACGCTGGGCCCCCACTCTCTCCTTCAGTCAGTGACCAAGGTTGCCACCACTCTTCAGGCTCACATCTACCCCTCGACTGTCAGGGAGGAAAGGAGTCTCATCCCTCAGCTCTGCTTCCAAGAAGTCCCACACAGGAACATCCAACATCCAACACCTAGCCCAGGCAAGGAGGTGACTCAAACCACACTTTGTCTTTTTTTTTTTTTTTTAAGATTTTATTTATTCATTTGCGAGAGAGACAAAGAGAGAACAAGCAGGGGGAGAGGCAGAGGGAGAGGGAGAAGCAGACTCCCTGCTGAGCAAGGAGCCCGATGCGGGACTCGATCCCAGGACCCTGGGATCATGACCTGAGCCGAAGGCAGACGCTTAACCATCTGAGCCACCCAGGCGCCCTCAAACCACACTTTGAGTCAATGTGTAGAAACAGTTCCCTAAAAAAAGGCTCCAGATTCTGATCCCAGAGGAATAAAGGGGACGTACCAGACCACATGACACCTTGTATCACACAGGCCTTCCTCTTCTGTGGCGGGTTGGGCACCCAACCTGGTAAAGTTGTGTTTTAGTTGGATTATCTGATTACTTATCTCCAATACTGCCCCAATTCTTGGGGGGGGGGGACCCATAACGGAAGCACAACAATTATTTTAGATTTTTTTCTTCTTATTCCTTCCAAACCCACTGTGTAGGTACTAGCCATGATTCTCTTGATAATGCTTTGTTAGAAACAAAACATATCTAAGAATCTGATCCCCAAAAGCCAGATGAGTAGAGAGCTTTCTCTCTCCCTGAGAAGGAACAAAGATGTACCAATCATGGGCTGGTGACCTTCCGGCTCTAGATCAAGGGACCAGTCAATCCTGAGCAAAGTTTCTGAACTTGGGGTCTACAACTCTTACTTGGCAATTAACATTTGCTACTGCTTACTGTTAATAATCTACTAATGTCTTACCTCCCCTATTCAACGGAAAGCCATTTGTAGGCAAGCGCCATCTTAAATCTCGTTATATTCCCTTCTCTTGCACAAACCAGGCTTCTTGTTTTATGCTTACGTCATCCAGCTCTATGCCCCCCTGCCATCTTCATCGCAAAGTTTCTACCAACTCGGAATTTTCTTCTGCACCTCATTTCTGGACAGCCCCCAAACCTGCCTCCATCATCCTATTAGCCACTTCATCCTGTGGCTCCTTCATCTGCCTTAAACCAAACTACTTAATCTTTATGCCACATCCAATCTTCCAGAGCAATCCCACCTCGGAAGGACTTCCCTGCAATCATAGCTTTCTATGTAGCATCATGAGTAAAACCTGACTTCAATCCTGTTTCCGTCCTTTGCTAGTATGTGACCTTGGGGATTTTCTTAATCTCTCAGGGCCTCCGTCTCCTCCTCTGTAAAATGTCAATTATATTCCTCCCTCACGGATTTGCAAGGAGTTAATGAATAATTCAGGGAAACCACATAGTAAGTGCTCAATAAACGTTCACTATCAACACCTGCCCCCCTTTTCCACTGGTACTAAAACTTCCGTTTGGTTTTTTGCAACCATCTTTAAGGTTCTCTATTTTCCCTGTATAGGTACCTTCCTGAGCTTTGCCTTTCCTCTCTACCCTAAATGCCATGGGCTTCCCCAGCACGTTGAACTCGCTCTGAATTTGCCTTCCCTCCCTGTATCCAACTTGAGTTTGTCTAATTATGCCAAGCTCTACTGGAGAAAATAGCATAAATGCAGGGGCCATCCCCATGACACATTGTTTCCAACCGCTCATGAGGTCCTCTCTCTGCCTCACACCGTCTTTCTCAAAAAATTACCTTGCTTCCCAGAGAGCTTCTTTTGATACTAATAGATTGGGCTATTTATACTGTTCCATCATTTGCTTTTTAGACTTTAACAATCTGCCTATCTTATTAGTCATATCAATTTACCTAATTCCTTTCTAAGAGCATGTATTATTAAAGAGTAGTGCTATATTGTAGCCATTCTAAAGATGGGATGGTTGTTTAAATGATTCTCACGACTAATGGCTTTGCAATTGTGAAATACAATGGCCTCTTTTCCATCTTTGTCCTGCTTGCTCTTCCTGCAGCATCTGACGCTCTTAATGGCCCCTCTCGCCCCTCCACAAAACTCTGTTCCCTAGACACCTACCACCCTGTCTGTCCTCTCCGGCTTTGCTAGTCATTCTTGGTCTCTTTATCGGACTTCTGCTGGACACTCCGCCTCTTACATGTGGGGATTTCCAGGTTTCTACCCATAACAGCAGTTTATAATTTTTTTCCCATTTTCACGGGGCCTTCCTATCCAAGCCAAGCATCAGATATTTTTCTATTTTCTGAAGATTTCCAAGTCTATCCAATCACTCTCCTCAATTGCAAATACAAATTTCAAATTGCCTGCAGTGCATCTTGACCTGGAGGCCTTACAGACTCAATTTGTCCAGAATTGAACTTATTTCCCTTTTTATATGTTCATTCCTCCCCCACCCCCAGGCCTAAATGTTCTCTCCATGGCAACGGGAGTGATTTTTTTTTTTTAAGCATAAATTGGGTGTGAGGATTTCTTCTCAGGATACAATGATTTCCTTGCAATCGGTATGCCCAGTACCTCTTCTTCCGAGTGTTCACGTGGCTACCTCCTACTCACCCTTCAGGTCATGGTTCAAATATCGCTGCCAAGAGACCACCCTGACCACCTGAGCAAAAGCAGTACTGCTCTGCTCCCCAGCCCTCCTCCAATCACTCCGTATCTCAACCCTCTCTTCTCTTTTCACTGCACACATCACTATGTGAAATTTTCTTCTTTATTTGCTTGCCTATATGCCTCTTCTCTAGAATGTAAGCCCAATGAAGACAGGGCTTTGTCTGGTTCCCTGCTCTATCTGCAGAGCCTAGAACACCACCTGGAAACCCGGCAGGACAGTCAAATAAATAAATTTAAATTCCTCGTTCTTGAAGATGGAAAGGTCCTGCTGATAAATTAAGAACTGAGCAACACAGTTCAACCTGATTAGTTCTGTGTGAGTGTGTGGTGTTTCCTTCCCCAAACCCCATACTCCAGCAATCCATGCATAGTCACACAGGTTATCTGTGAATACCACAAAGCTCTGAAAAAAGAAATGTTAATGCAGCAAGTTAGTCCCACTCTCCACCCTCACCTCTGTTAAACCTGACACAGTAATAACCACCACCTTCTATAGAAACCATTCTGGACAGGAGCTAGGAGCAGAGTCCAGTGGCCACAGGGCAAGAGCAGATTTGATTCCAGGACGCTGACAGATGGGTACCCTCTGATTGACTCTTTGAGGGATTCCCAGGGATAAAGGGGCTCTGGTCTGGGAACCCATCATCCCACATCCTCCCCTCCCGACACACTACTAGACAGATATTTTACGATCTCTCCAGTTCGTTCAACGGGTCAAGCACTCAGTGTCTCCCTTTTGCTGACAAGGAGACTCACGCTCCGGAGGCACTAGCCTGTGTCCATCTTGTGCAAAGACCCCAGGGTCCCAACCCACGTTTCAAAGCTCAAACTCCGTCCATTTGAGCTACTTTATTTCCTAGCTGCCCTGGAGAATCTTCAGTATCTTTTTGGAAACCAAACTGGAAGCCTGCGCTGGAGGGGTCAGGGGGAAGGCAAAGGGAGGGAGGCCCCCAAGAGTAGCCCGCGAGGGTCTTCACAGACCCGCCCTGCTCCTAAAGATGACTCGTCGTGGCTAGCAGGAGTGGGGACCCGGCACCACACAGGGTCAGCGCTGGAGTATCTGATTCCTGGCCCGGGAGGGGAGGGAGGGGCGCGGAGGGGACACTGACAACACGGGGTGCAGGGCTGTTAAGTGTTGGGTCGGGTCGCGCGCGGGGAGGGGCGGCTGGGAGGGGAGAATGGAAGCCATCAGCTCCGGGACGGGAGAACAAAGCAGTGGCCCGCCCGCATTTCACGCGAATGCATTTCAGGCATTTAATCTAAAAGGAGGGTGCCAAGAAGGGAGGGGAGGGGAGAGAGCGGGGAGCGCACGACTCAGCCCAGAAATCGGGAGTTTGCATTTACCACGACGCCTCGCCCGTAGTCTGGCGCCTCCTCGCTGCTCCCGGCCATGTTTCTCCCGGGGAAAGCGGGAAGGGAAGAAGGGCGCGGGAAGGATCTGGGAGAGCGAAGGGCTGGGAGGGGGATGGGACTGGGGACGGGGACGGAGACGGGGCCGCCCCGCCCCGGGCCAGCTAGCGGGGAAGGACCGCGCGCCGCGGACCCCGCGCCTGGCGCGGCTCCAGCGGCTCGGCCGCCGCGTCCCCCTGCCCGGGCCCCCTCCCCCGGCGGGTCCCGGGGCGCGGGCGGCGATGCGGGCCGGGAGCGCAGGGCGGGCGGCGCGGGGCGCAGCTGCCGAGCCGTGAGCGCTCCACCTGAGCGCAGTCCCGGGGCGCGTCCCTCGCGTCCGCCGCCCGCCAGTCTGCGAGCCCCGGAGCCCCGGAGCCCCGGAGCCCCCGCCGCCTGCTCCCCGCTGGGACTCGGGAGGACGCGGCTGCCCGCGGCTGGAATTTTACAGCAAGAGAAAGTATTCCCATGGCCCCCGCCTCCCTAAGGCTGTGATCACCGGCTTTCAGGCGAACAATGTCTTTGAATCCTGCCTGCTAATTTTTATGCGCTCTCTATCCCAAGTAAAATCCGTGACAGAGTCTGCGCTATGGGATGTTCTCGAAGTACGGCTGTGGACGAAACTCTCCCAAATGGGTTTTTTTTAAAATCGTCGAACTGCCCAGCCCGCAGTTTGAAAGAGCCCTGTGATTGCTTTTATCCCGGCCCAAGCCCGCAGTTTAGGATCCGGAATCTGAAATAGGGCCCTTCCTTCACCGCATTAAGGAGGAAAAGGGAGAGACATTTTTACAAATTATCTACTTTACCACTTTTGTGAGACCCTGTGGCCAGACTTTCATGGTTTCGGGTTGCAGTTTAAAGCAATCGCTCTCAGATTCGAAAGCTTCTTTTATGAATCTTTTGTTAATTGAACCCCTAATGCAGCCTTCCCCCCACCGAATGTGCCGGTTCTTCGTCCATTCCTCAAGGGCCCCGCTTTCCTTGAGTATATATTCATTCCCCTGCTCGCTCTTGTCCCGTTGCATTCTTTGCAGCCCCGTCCTGGGTCTGCAGCCCCGAGCTGAGCACAGTTCTCGGACTCAGGCCTCTCTCTCCAAAAGACTTGTTTTGTTCGGGTTTGGGTTCTGGCACACGGCAGGGAGAGGAATGCTGATTTTGCTTGGTTTGAGGGGAAAATAACCACCAAGCAGTTAATGTCGCTCTAAGTTGGAAAGTTACTCGTCATTCAGACGTGGCCTTGCTCAGCACTGTTGATCGGCTTCCCCGGATAACAGCGCAGGGGAAGGAAGACAGCTCCGTGGATCGCGGAGATCCTCGGAGACCCAGCACGGTGCTGGACACTGGGTAATCTTGTTTCCTGGTGTGCAGGTAAACATTTTCGCCCGTCCTTGTCAGAGGTCCTTGCTCAGGGCCATTTTTATAGTCTGCCTCTCACCTCTTTTCCCAAAGGTGAAAGTCCATCTTCCACTGACGTTATCAAAAACCAAGCCCAGGAAGTATCTTCACAACCACCGTCACTAAAACTTCCAGGAACTGAAAAGTACCATCACGGGGGTGTGATCAAACCATAGGGTTCACGACACTCGCTTGCGGAGCTGGTGAAAGCAGCTTCATCTACTTTAACCCTACCCCGCAGGTCATGTGGAGAAGCCCTGGGGTCGGACGTGGAAATCCGTGCTACCAAGACCTCAGATGAGGGAAAGGCAGGTGGTTCTCGAACCACTCTGTAAAGTATCCCATGTTATCTTCTTACTGCTGCAAAATCAAGCTTACCCCTAAGAGGCTCAGCGTGGGTCATGGGTCAGTCAGATCAGGGGCAGGGGCCTCAAAATAAATGACAGGTGTAGCTGCTAAACAGAAAAAAAGCAACCCACTCTGGGCCCAGCCCAGGCACTGTGGAACATGGAAGAGAAACTCTGGGTAAATTTTTCCTTAGAAAGGCCATTAATTTAAATGCAAAACCAAATGGGATCACGATGAAAAAATATAACTTGTTTGAATGACAACAGGAATCATATGAATGTATGCTCAAGAACATCCTGTCTAGACCTGTATAGGACATCCTAAGAAGACCACAGAATGATGAACAATTTTTTTTAATTTTAATAATCATTTTATTTAAACCAATATAGGAAAAATATCACTTCAACATTTATTGAGATGTTTATTCATTTTTTCCTAATAGATCTTTGAAATCTACTGTGTTTTATGCCTACAGCACATCTCAGTTTAAAGTAGCCACATTTAAAGTTTTCAGTGGCCACATTTAAAGTTTTCAGTAGCCACATTTAAAGTGAGTGGTACCCATACTTGGGTGTTGCAAATCTAGAGTACTCTAGAATTTATTGCATTGACTTAAAGATCTTGGGAGTGAAAGAAACTAGAGAAGAAAAGGATGAGATTTCAAGTATAATTGATCAATGAATTTTCCAAGAACTTGATAGAAATTATACTAGCAATACAAAAGTTGACACCAGCTAGTTGGATTTTTGTTCTAGTTTTTAAAAATACCTGTTTTTTTTAAACAAATCATTTTTAAAAGTAAATTTATTATCTTGTCGTATTTGGATGACATTTTGTGTGATCTAATTATACTTTGATACTTTGGGCAGCATTAAAGTAATGCGATGTAACACTTGATATCATGAATAGTAATTGCAAGGACCAGTATCCAAGAATAACAACTCATCTGGCCAGGCTTAATTCTTAATCTTGGGTTATGAGAACTTAGAGGCAAAAATTCTTTTAAAATCTCAAATTTCAGTTATGTGTCTAGTGGAATAGCTTTGCACTAGAATTCCGATTTTTTTTTTTTTTTTGGTAACAATCCTTATGGTCTTAGCCAATGAGGCTAAGCCAATTACATCAATTTAATATGCCACAATTTTCTCATCTATAAGAGGGGGCAATACATTACTGTTCTATTGCATATAATGAACGAGATTAACATAAGATAACAGGCAAGAGAATTTTCAGAAAAATCCCATGAAACTGTAAGGTGTTACTAATCTGAGATACTGCGAAAATGTATGAGCAAATGACTGTAAAGTTAGTTGATCTGAAAATGACAGGGTAATTGCCTTTTTAAGATGGGTGTGATAGACCAATCGGGAACAGTTATAGTCTAGGGACAAGTTGGGGCTGGTATGAGAATTGATAAGGAAAATGAGAAAATTATTAAAATAATGGAATTTTCTACACGAAAAAAGGGATATTTGAGCTCAGAATGTCCATTTTCTGATATTTCTTTGAAGGGGCTGTAAGAATAAAGAGGTATCTCTTTGCTAAGTTAATAACCAATAAATATACTTGAGTTTTTCTGTCATTCTCTGTATCACATTTTAGTGGTAGATTCCCTGCATTTTATTTCACTTTTTTTGGGGGGGGGATTTATTTGAGAGAGAGAGAGAGAGTGCACACAAACAGGGGGAGGGGCAGAGGGAGAGCGAGAATCCTCAAGCTGATTCCCCTCTGAGTGAGGACCCCAATGCAAGGCTTAATCCCAGGACACCAAGATCATGACCTGAGCTGAAATCAAGAGTCAACTTAACTTACTGAGCCACCCAGTAGCCCCGACATTCCCTGCATTTTAAATTCTGAGATTATCTTGTGTCATTACCATGGTAAAATCACAAATATTTGTATTTACCTGAATTCTCCACCAGGCCAAAAGACTTTTGTCCTAAGAATACATACTGATTTTTTGACACCTCAGTAGTTTTTAAACTTTTGACCATACTAATCTGTTACTGAAGGAGCAATTCAATCTATGTGCTGAGTTGCTTAGTCTGTCACTCAGTAACACTGGATTCAAAAATACAGAAAGGCATTTATTTTTTCCTCAGCCCTGAAACATGAAAATAAATAAATAAATAAATAAAACTCTTGGCCTGGGAATTGTGTTGAAATACATAAACATATGAAACTTAGTGACTCAGATTGTTAGTCACAGAGTCACTGGTTAGAATCTGGATGAAAGCCACGGTGGACAAAGGCCAGTAATAATGATGATGATATTTTGCTTTTCCTTAGTGAGGAACAAAACCCTTTACAAATGTTACAAGTACAGGAGAAAAAGTGGCAAGATACTTTCTTCTAAATATTCAGGGGAAGTGAGAATCTTGCTACATTTGAGTATTTTGTCCCCTGTAGGTATGTACAGAAGAAATATAGTTGCAAATAATTGTAACACAAAACAACTTAAGCAAAAGCCTCATTAGTATTCAATTAGCATAGTAAGCCCTCTTTCATGGCCTCTTGTTTGAAACAGACTGGATCCAATGTGTAGTCTTAGAATAAAGGAAATAATGGCCCCATAGTAGTTCTTACAAATAAAGCCAGGAGCTACATTCAGAATTATGTTTTGTATTATTACACTTTCATTAGTAATTAACCTTCCACTGAAGAACACACTATGGGTAGACTTCAGCCTGCTTTTTTGCAATAATGTCAGGCATGAGTAATATCATCAACACTAAGTGCTGGGCTGTTTCAGAGATATTCTCCCACTATCTCCCCATCTGACCGGAACAGGAATTGGATAGCTTCAGAGTAAAAGAATAATGTGTCCATGTGTTCCTCCAGATCTCAGAGTCCTGGCAGCCGACCTCAACTCTCTTGGCCACCATAAAGCAGTCATTGAAAGGACACAGCTGCAGGAACTAGAGGCTAAGCACTAAATAAATCCACAGGGCTAGAGGCACAAGTCATGTACATGACCCTAACACAATACCTTGTGGTTATGAATGAACGGATTAGCATCTAATGGTGCTATGGCAGCTTATGCAAAATTAATTGGTACCTCAGCCAGTGCCGAGTTTCTACTGGAAAGATGTCCAGTTCAAAAAACAAAAACAAAAACAAAAAAAACCAAGGAGATCTCCTTAAACTTTGGCTGGGTTGGGGAGATGAAAGACTAACTAGAGGGGGTTGAGCAGCTTCTTCTCTTAGTTGTACATAGATTCTGTTCAGATCAGCATAGATGTACTGTCCTCACTGGCAACATCCCAGGAACTAGT